AAAACAGTATTTATCTCAACGTTCTACTTTTCTAAAAAAATGAAATAATATAATTTAACCACTTGAAGTGAAAGATATTGGCTGTGAATGTGCTATTTGTGATTTTAAAAGCATGTATCGGCGACTGTTAATAATATCAATTCGTTTAGAAAAATTAGATTAACGCAAATGTTAATATCTGCATTTTTATTTTCATACTTGTATGCAATAAATAATAATGGTTATAATATCAGCAAGTAGTTAAAATAATTATGCAATTGCAGTTAAGTACTTCATACCTAGTTGCTCCATCTTACGTATCCTAACTACATAATTATTGAACTCATAAATATATGTGTTTTATGTGTGTGTGTGTGTGTGTGTGTGTGTGTGTGTGTGTGTGTGTGTGTGTGTGTAATATTAATAAAGAGAAATTAATAATTTAATGGAACATAATATAGCATTAATTTGATTAGAAATAAGTATAATCAATCAAATAAAAAATTTGCCTTTAGAAATAAAAAATAAAAAATGTTCGAAAAAATTTATTGTTACCCTTCTCTTTGATTATGTCTTTCTTTACTGAAAAATACATTTATTTACTTTCCAAATTTTTACTACTTCTGTTTCCTGTAAAACAAGTTTTTTTTCCCTTGAAAAAAGCAAGATGCGATAGAATAAAATTCAATCCTTTCTTTTCTTCTCCTTTTTGTTACAAAAAATTTCCTTTTTTAGCGGAAAAATAAAATGCATAATATTCGTGCGTGCTTCCGATATAAAATGATACGAATTAACGATGCATTCGCGCGACCAGGTAAAAGGCACAGAACTACACATGTGTCTTTGACGGGAGCAACCATATCTGCAGTGGCCTCTTTTTACGTGACCACTCGGAAACAATTGTTTCGTTAGTTCGCAACGTTCCCCCACTTCCATTACGTGACTATGAATATGCATAGTTTCTCAGACCGAGCGCAACGTAGAACATAAACATATTCCAGCATATGTGAAATGTTCATTACAAAAATTTATCTACTTTTATTTTTTCCTCGACAAACAGAAAAATGAGAATAAATTAATAAGACAATTATTTGTTATAATAAAAATAAGAATAATAATTATTAACTATATTAGTAAAAGAAGAAAAAGTGATACAAGAATTTAAATTAATTTCTGTAATTTTGTAACATCTACAAAAGAATTTTCGTAAATAAATTAAAAGTACATAATTACTCTCTTAATGATAGTTTGGTATTTAAAGTTAATAAGCTATCAAGATCTTAACTTCTTAAAATTATATTATGAAAAATACTATAAAGAAAGAAATATCTTGCGACATTTATGTTTTAAAATAAATTATATTTTTATTGTAATTGTTAAACATATAGTCAATCTATAAGTAATATTCTTGAGGCTTCCACGGATGTTTTCTATATAAAGATTATGCGTTTCGCGGGTTTCCTACATGTCCAGATCCATTCTTGGAATGCCAAAAAATCTGAATCTGTAGGTTTTACAATATTAATAACTATGGATAATTTCATAAGTTATGACAGAGTATTAAGAGAATATGAAAATCTCCGGCAATGAAATGAAAAGCATATACGAAAAAGAGAAGGAAGGATGCAGGAAACGCAAAAGCGTCGAGGGAAGGATGGAAACGGACATGGCGTTATCAGAATTTCCGGCGTTTACTGATAATAACGCGAACCAACCTAATAGCCACCACGTGCGTATGTGCTACGTTAAAAAGCTTCGTTGCTTGTACGTATAGAATTATGCTTATATAACCAAATTATTAATTAAAATTATTAAGCAAAAATCATGTTATCCATTTAATCAAAGATTAAGATAAAATTTTCTTTAATTGGTGCTAGAAATTATTACATTTAGATCATTACTAAATATCATTACTAAATAGCACTCATTAAAACGCGAATCTAGGTAAAGTCGCGCTCTTATCCTTTCTAGTAGGGAACTAAGCGAACGCGTCACTTGACGACGGAGAAAAATAAGAGAATTCGTCTCGAGTTACTCAGTGAAAAAAAAGAGAAGAAAAGCAAAATGGAGAAGGAGAGAACGAAGAAAGGTCGGCGTACGCGAGCAGCACATCCGGCAGAAATGCGACTGGGAAGCAATCGGATATTGTATGTAGGTAAGCAAGAAGCTGCTGATGCCATCCGAGTCCTACGAACTCTCTCAAAGCACATCACATATGTATATGGATGGGTCGAGTTGCGTTCTCGCGCCTTCATGACGCCACCTTGACCCACAAATAGTGGACTATTAATCGTCAGTTTATTACTGCGAGAAATATACAAGCCAAAAGGAAATAATAGGTGATGATGCTATTTTCTATGCAACGGCATTCAAAGTATTTCATTGTACGTATAAATATCATTTAGAATGTCAGTGAAAATTATTTTTATATACATATTTTATACATTCAAGGAAAAAAATGAATGTTTCTTTCCTTCGCGTTTTTCTGGATTATATCAAAATTATATCAAAATTAAGATTGAGATATCTTATTGCTCGAATCGTTTCATGGTGTCCATAACGCGATACGCAGTTTTCGAAGTAGAGAAGCGTCCGTAACTAGATATGAAAGGACGCAGGGGGAAGAGTCAGGGAATTAAAATGCAGGTATTGAGTTACCGAACTGACGACGAGGACGAAGAGGTCAGAGGACACGAGAATCTTCTAGGGGCGAAATCAGACTGGGAAGCAATCGGATATTATGTAAGCAAGAAGTAGCTGACGTAGCTAGGTATCCTGTATAGAGTCCTCACTACGTTAGAGGTACGTACAAGAGTTTACGTTACACTTTCGCATCCGAACGACGCTGTTGCATTCCGACCTTCGTGACACTTTATCCTCGAGTATACATCGAGCGAAAAAGAAAACTGTAAATCGCGACGATATATTAAACAGAAAAAAAAAATAATAGAAAAAATAACCAAGGTAGTAAATGTAGAGGAAAAAGTAATAAAAGTAACACCACGTAACGCACATTTTTTTATATCGCAGATTAAATAATAAATCAGATTATGGCATGTTATTTCTTGTAGTATTCCAACGAACTTAATTTCACAGTTAGACGCTTATACCTCAGCGCGATAATAACTATGTTATCGTCGCATTAACATTCTTGTTCACCTGTGCTTTTGTTTCCTTTGACTGCTCTAATCTGCCCTCGGCTTTGCAATACTTATCATTTCATACAGAAAGCTCAACAATTACCCGTGCAGCATATGTATTTGCATGACCATTCGCGCCAGATGTGCAAACGTTACGCGCATTACAATTAGCATTATTTGTGACTTCGACTTTTCTATCTTTTTCAATCATTATTATAAAATGTGTTTAAAAGCTAAAGATTAAAAATTAATTTTCTGTGGCTAATTTTCTAAATTAGTGTTCAATCATCAATGTTTATGTGTATAATTTCATTTAAGTAGAAACTAGCGGTAAGTAGATATGCATAAATTTTGAATAAAATAGCGAAAATGTATAAAAAAAAAGTGAGCTGTGCGCGTATATGATCTAGAAGAAAAAATTTTGGATCAACCAGATTAATTTAGGGATGGCCACGTGCGCGATCCTTCAGGATGATGCACGGCTTTTACAGTACTCTTGCATCGATATACGACGTATACGAGAGTATATACCGAGAGAAATAGAGTTCTCCTATAGGTAGGAGGAGATAGATGTCTGGCACGGTTAAACTTAAATCACAGCCAGCATGATGAACTCGCGGATGAAACACTCGAGGTCGCGGTATGTTAAAAGGAGCGTCTCGTTGCCGGTCTGCTAGAACGAAGTCCGGATGGTGTGGCATGTGTAACCACAAGCTTTAGCCCCTGAAGAACCACTTAAACTCTCTAAACTTTCCCTCTCCGGCTGATACATCCCTCAGAAATGCATCTTTCTCTTTTTATTTTTTTTCTCTCGATAATATCTCAATTATTTTAATTTTTATTACATATATCTAACTACATTATAATATGGCTAAATAATATATAATATAGGGTAATATAAAAGTCAAAACACAAAATAGCGTTTTGAATGAACAGAAAAAAAAAGCAGAAGGAAAAAGGTTTGAAAGAACGAAATTAATTTATATAAAATATTAAAAGCGCCAAATATTCGATTTACTTTTTACGCGATTTAATATAGGCGACATGAGAACTTTTCAAAACTGTTCGAAACGTTTCTTCGCAATTTTCAAATTTATTAAAAGAAAAAATCCAAAATTATAATAAATATAAATAAAGCGAAAAACGCTCCAAAAATTAGTGCAGATATTTGTGAAAAAAATATTTAACGGAGACTGTCTTAAGATTCGACAAGATATTTTTTCAACTTCAATTCATTGCTCAGCATGACGAACTTTTATGTCAGACGGATAAAGAAGTCCGGTCGACCTCCGTGAACCTTGAGGAGGCACATTTATCTTGGTGTCATTATTAGTATCTAAAATAAATGATCGAGACGCGTTGGTTTAACGTTCAATGTACTTGTCAAGCGTTATCAATGAAGTGAGTCTTAATTATTGCCGAAAATGTGGACTGAAGAAAGAGAGCAAGTTGAGGGCGCAGGAGGTGAAGCGCATCATAAGTAACGAGTTGCGTACCATATCAACTTCGGTCGTGAACTTGAGCTTGCATAAGAACTAAAATTAATTGCAGACGACCGAGGAGGTATTTAAAAAAAGTTTTATGTCTTAATCCAACTTATCGAGTTTATCCTCTACGTGACATGCCTCACGAACGTGATATTACATCGCCATAAATCTTCGATCGACTTAAGAACATTGTGATTTTCATATCATTTTATATCAGATATCGTTCTCTCCAGTTGTACTATGATTTCTTTTGGATATCTTATTTGGATATCGTATTTTCGAAAATAGCTGTATATTGATAAACTTCTCGAATTTGCTTTCATTGTAATTCAACTGATGTTTACGATTTCGCGTAATCTCACAGTACATCGGTTAAACGAAAAACTATAACTCCGCTGAAAGATTACAATACGATTTAATTATCCCGGAAAAAAACTTGTATGATTTAGGGTTACGTAGGTTTTTCATTCCTAAATCGAATGATATGAGTTAAATTGCGTTTTATTATTGGCTAGTATTCGATTAGATAGCTGTATGTGCGTTAACACCTGAAAATTATCGTAAATTGACGCGCATCTGTTAGATACAATCCTACCGTTTCCTCTATATCGCGCGATACAACTAGATTAGACCTAAGCATTCATGCAACCTAGGTCATGGTCATATCAATGCCTTCTTCGATAGTCGTCGGCGCATGACGTCGTGGAAACAGGTGTCGCGTACCAACCGCGTATGATAACATAAAGATACATTAGGATGACGGCTCTTTCACGGCTACTATGAAGCCCGAAATCGTAGACGATAAAGAATTCGAAATGGCGACGGGAATACTTCTAGGAAGCGAAAGAATGCTTCACGGTAATTACTGAATCATCGCTTTCGAGAAAATAACAGGTACATTTCTTCTAAAGTGTCCCAAATAAATTTCCAAAAAAGTGCCTAAGTTTTTAAAATGAAAGATCGAAATAAAGTATTTTGTATTTTTTATTTTTTTTTTTTTGAAATTAAAATGAAATTAATATGAACGAATTGCAAAATTATTGCAAAATAAGAATTATATATTTATGTAAAATAATAAATAATTATTTCCTCTCTTTAATGAAAATGTGTGTGTTGGATCCTATATAATGTATAACTTAAATTAGCGAGATCGTAAAGAGTATTATAAAATGCGTATGACCGATTGTGAGTTGGAAAAGAGTTCATTGGTATTTATTAGTTAATCTGCTCCCGACAGGCCAATAAAACATAACAAAACCGCGAATTCATATCGCGGATTCTCGTTTACAAAGTCGACATGTCAGTGGTCAGCAGGCAGTGACCTATACGAAAGATAAATTTTTTAGTCTCTCCCGATAACGATGGAAATTCATAAGATACGCACCATCTATCCTATCGATCATCCAATATTAATTAAACAGCATTCGTAAATAGTTATGTTGCTGACTAAAAAAGTCGCACGAGAAATATTGCTCCCTGGGATGCTGTCAAGTAAGAGGATACTGAAACACGATCTTTGAGTGGTTTGCTGGAACAGCCCTAATTTAGTACCGTGAACGAATTAGTCACAACTATGCGATTATCCGTGTCACCCAAGCCGATCTCGCCTTTATACCGAATTTTTCACGTCTAAGCGAAGCATCGAATCCTTTTCTCAGTTATTTATGACTACTGTAATACGATCAGTGCGACAGCTTAAATTACTGCCAATTCATCATTCGCAGAAAAGCAATATACTTCGCTGCCCGGAATCGTACAAATTATTTAAAAAATCCTATAGAATGGATTTTGGTTAAAAAAAACAACATCTTTATATTGTCCGAAAAATCTACAACCAACGGAAAAATAATTTCTCAATTGCGAGTGAGAAAATAATAATATAAAAATAGAATTTTCCTTTTTCTTCTTATCTTTTTAATCGATCATATACCTTTTGGAAAGAGTGAATTTGACATGTTACATCAAGTATGGAATTCGAGATGAGCTCGAAGGAGCATGTATGTATGTCTACACGCAACACGCCCACCGATCACGATTGACGATATCCATGTCGCTGCACGTCGATGCAACGCGGGATGCCACCTCATGTCGTTTAGCGCCGGCGCTCATTTATTTCTATACAATCACAGATGCGCGCGACGAAAAATCGTTGTATCAAAGGACACCGCCCACTTCAGAAACGTACGATAGGCGCGCCGACGCATGCGACCAGAGGAGTCTCTGGTTCCTCAAGGACCTCCTCGAATGAGGGTTGCTTACAGATCAGTCACTTCCAACTGCCTGTACCCATGTTACCCTGCACTTTACGGTTTCATATTTCGAACTGCTATATGAGTTTAGAAATTGGTTGAAAAAAATGTCGAATTGGAAAAATAAAGAAGAAAAATTTTAATTAATGGAGCTCCACTCCCCACGAAGCGTCTATCGTGTTATTCATAATCAGAGAATACATGCATACATTTACGTTCAGAAACGCACATAAATAAACTTTGCAAGCAACGATCGATAAATATTAGCAAACACACACATTTTCAAAAGTGTATCAACTCTATAAATAATATTAAATTGCCAACAAAATATTTTCAATCTAAAAAAAAAAAATAATTTAATTTTTCTAAGAATAAACTTTATAAACACTAAATTAATAGCTTACAAGATAGAAAATAAAGATTCCAATTACATTATCAAAGCGCTGAAGCTGCACGTGAATAAATCTCAAAATACTGAAGTCGTGATAATTAATACGAATTAAAATTACGAAGAATATTTCTCATTAAATTCTACAGATCAAATAAAACGACACAACACACGTTCATGTTATCGCAATGATTCGTCGATTTTTGCTGGATTTTATTGGCGGAGACACGAATTCTGCGATTTGACAATCTAAATCGTGAGAATATACGGCGATCACTACAAATATCGTCGATGCGACGAATTTCAGAAGCTGACAAATTATAAATGAATTTATTATCAGCGGATATATTTAATAAGGATTTTTCTTATGTTTTTTTTTTCAATAACAGCATTAAAATGAAAAAAATGAAATTATCAACTTGTATAGTTATATACGATGACATTTTTTAAATGCAATTCGCATAGTATGTTGAACAATTCTTATTAACTCTTTTAATGCTGAATCTTGATCAATTGTAATTATATTTGCTCTCTTTTTTTATTATATTTGCAAAAAAGTCAAGTCTTTTTACTTTTAAAATTATAATAAATAGAATAATCTTTTTCATAAACATGCATTTTTATTGAGAAGAAAGAGCCTTAATAATTTTCATTTACTTATTTCTGTTTCTAAGGATTAAGCATTAAAGAGTTTTTTTTATAATTTAATTATATTAAATTCCATTCAATAATAGAAATAACACTATTCTATGTTGTTTGATTAATGAAAAAATACTTACTTGCAGTCAAACTTGCGGCAGCACTGATTTGCGTCGGTGCTGTTGCTGGGTTAACAGTCTGCCGTCTCGACGGTGTGCCATATTGCGTCGTTAAAGCGTCCGTTGTAGGTGATGCATACGTCCAAGAAGTAGCTTCTACGGCGGAGACAGCGGCGTTCCCAGTGGTATTCTGTTGAGAGGACGAATACGGTGGACTGTAACCACGGAAACTCGACCGAGCACCGAAAGGTGTTTGTGAAAACGCTGGTAGAGATTGATGGGACACCGTGCCCGAAGATTTGCTGCCGTAATCTTCAGGCATGGACAGTCCGCTCAGACCTGTAACTGTCAATGAAAATATATTATGAAAAAGAAATCTCAGAATCCTTTAGAAATTCATAGTTTTTTCGCTAACTGAAACATCATGTTTAAGAAACATTCTAAAAGTTTCTTGATTCGTGACATTCACTGACGTTATTATTCACGAACGTTATAAATGTAATTCATCTTATATATGCGCGTCAGAAACTTATCTAAGCGAACCGACGCGCCGTAAGCATTACCTGATCAATTATTTTTATGATGCTGATACCTACCCTGAGCGTTCCAAAGTTGAGACGACGATGTCAATTCAGTGGGGCTGCTCGTCATGTAAGGAAGGGTATAGGTTCCTCCGGTTCCAGCTACAGTACCCATCGCACCCACGCCACTCATCGGTCGATACAACGAAGAACTATAACAGCAAAACTTACACATATACATATATATATATTATAATAGAACATAGAAAATGATGCTCCATATATTATTTGATTAGTCTAATAAAATATCGTTTCTGTAGTCTTCTGTCAATGTTATAATAAGTAAGAGTAATAAGTATAAATCATTTATTTAGAGTTTGTTTAGAAGTGAAAACAAAACATATATGAACTGACTTGGTACAGTTTGTAGCATCATCATTTCGCCTGAAAAGGCTTATCATAAAATCTTGTAAATTTTCATGCCCGATACATCTTACCCGATACGTATACGATATTAGAGTAAAATTAATAATAATTGGAATTGTGACAAAACTGCATCTTTCTCTTCGGCATCGCTGCTTCTCTCGCACCGCGAGATGTTTATGTTTAATTCAGGTTAATGATATTTAAAGATAATTGAGTTGTTTTTGCAATTTAAGAGTGAAACTGAATATACATATAATTATTAACTTTTTCGCTGCAGGAAATTTCTGTGCAAAAGGCGCACTGCAGGTGGTAGACACTCGGCAGTGACCGACGCTGTAGATGGCCACACATCTTGCCAGCACATATTTTTTAGAGAACATAGTAGTTGAAACACTGAATTGTTTTACTTTACTATTTTAACAAAGAAAATATTTTTATCGATTCTTTTTTATACAAGTTGTAATATAAACATTAAACATAAAAAATATGTAGTATGAATATTTTGTTGCCAAACAGTCGTTGACGAAATAAATGTTGAAAACTTATAGATGCCTATTCATAGAGAGCGATGTTAAGTCCAATGTCTACAGGCAAATAAAATCACCGAACTCAATTAGGTGTCCGTTAGATGCTAATAGTAATGAAAAGGTTATAAATAAAAACAGTGTGAATCGCGATTCGTATGCTTCGTATTTCACTCATAGATCACGTTTCGCGAATAACGCGAGTACGCCCCTACCCATGGGATATGTGGATCACGAGGCGGAGTGTATCTCGTGAATCGATCGTTCGGATCAATCGTTCGACCCTAGAGAATTACTCTTATTTTTATTACAGATTACACATATACGTCACTCTAGATTGCATATATATCCTATAAATCAATCACAAACTTAATAATCTATTGACATTTTTTAAACTTCGGGCTAATATTGAAAAGAGAAGAATTCTCAATAAAAAAGTATAAAGATAAAAAATAAATTGACACGAAGAATATTTAATTACCATACGCTTATAATATAATAAAAAAAAGCATAAAGAATTTCCTTATACTTATGCAACTAATTTATGTAAACATATCTTTGTAACTGATAACAGACATATTGTCGTGTATTATTATCACGCATAACATTATACATACATTGGAAAAATTCACTGTTCCGTGTCGGAAACACCGGAAAGTAACCGCTCGCGGGAGAGCGGAAACCGTGGTTTGAGTCATATAATGCGGGCGCGGGCGCGTGCCCGAATCGAAGAACGGAAGAAAACACCCCTTCGACCTCCCTCCCTTCGCGTCTCCTACTTGTACGGATGACCCTCATCATATGAAAGTCCGGGACGACATGGCTACTCCATTACCATTGCCATTACCATTACGAGTTGTTTATACCTGGTTTCAGCTCGATGGCCACTTGAGGAACGCAGCAGGATTCTACCTGAACTTGAACCTGAATAGAATAACTTAATGAGTTTCCAGACATTCGGCACAACGAGCGAATTATGTGTCTCCACTTAAGCATTTTTCAAAGTAACACCTATCTTCAGCGAGGAATGTTCTTCGAAGAATCTTCTGGATGTAATTTTTCAAGTGGTTGTTCCAAAAATTCCGATCGTTACGGAAGTCAAGGATGATTAATGACGTGTACGAATAGAAATCAATCGGTGATATTTATTTGTGACTTTTTCATGAAAATTATAACAATTACCTATATTTGAGAAACATTGAGAAACATTTTTCATTTACATTTCCCACAAAACTGAATTAAAAAAATTATTTTCATCCACTTTGCCTTTTAATTATATAGCATGCAATTACATATTTTGAAATATTCATTTAACAACGATTATTCATAATCATTATTGATTTTAATATAATAATAAATTAATCTATTTGAATTAAATTAAGGTAGACTCTTTTCTCTATCTAACAGATCTAGAAGAAATACTTTTTCTGGCAGAGAATCTTTTATTTATACTTATGCGTATAATTATGCGCAAAAAGTGATCGGTGCGCTTTGCACGCCACGCGCGCATCGCGCACGTGCATTTTATCTCCGAGCGTATTAACGTGTCCCAAACAAGGTAAAGAAGCGACCGGCGTAAAACAAACTAAAGCATCGCTGTACGCTCGCAGTGATGTCAATACGGATGCGGCCTTGAGCAGTCGCGCGGTGGCCCGGGCACGTTTCTGCGTACCGGTACGTGTCCGAAGATACCTTTGCGATCGCTCTCGCGATGTCGACGATTACCGCCGAGGTACTTCTCACGTGGTAGCCTCCAAACTCACCGCCGCGCCGATCGACAAAGAAAGATAGGAACACCGATAAGCGCGTGCAATTTCGTCAAAAATTAAACGTAAAGCGAGATTTGTGATATATGTCATATGTTAAGAATAGAGAATAGAGATATAGAGGGCAAAGATATATATATATAATATGGGAAATATTAAAAATATTATATATATTGATAATATTGATAAGATTTAATAATATGGACCGAATGTATTTTATACGTATATAATATATCAATGACACACGTCACATAGCTTAAATTGTAAAAAGAAAATTTTAGAGAAATACAAACTTTATTTAGATATTGGCGATAATATATATCTAGCAATGTTCTTGTGCGACAGAATTTATTAATTAATGTTAATTGTTAATGTTAATTTTCTATTATAACATTGGCATTCTGTATTGTACATGGATGTGTACTTATAGCATGCATATTATTCGCACGTGAATGCTAGACGAAAACCGCAACTCGCATGCAAAATGCATAATCAGCATGTTACTCTTGATTGCCAGAAGAGTTGTGACGAATATAAAATTGCAGGCTAACAGTGAACTCGACACCCGATGTGGCTCGACCTTTCAGGAAATTTGCTTAGACGATTTATATTTACATAACGTTAAGGTAGGTTATGATACGAAACGTTATTGATATTGATAATGATCGAAACGAAAATATTTTTAACGATACAAAAAAAGACAGATACATTTCTGTATAAATTGCAAAATGAAGGAAGAAGGATAAAAAATATGTAAATTTTGTAAATAGAATTTAAATTTTCTTCAATCGGCACACAACAAATTTTGTAATATTCTTAAGTAATATTCTAAGTAATAAATTCCTAAGTAAAAAAGTAATAAAATTTTCAAGTTGATTGTATCGAAAAAAAAAAATTGTTATGTCGAAAAATAAAATTTATCCTTATTTGAATTTTCCGCAAGTAGGAATTACAATCGCGATAAACTCTCGCGTGCATTTTACATCGGTAATGTAAATACCGGTGGATGAGAGTCGTCTAACGGTTTCGATTGTCTTAGGATATGTCGTACGTCTGACACGAGCTCAGCGGGCACGAGGATGCGTCTTAAGTGCATCGTTTAAGTGCGATGGAACGTCCGCAATGCAATACGAGTGCATCAGGAGTGAGACCGTTCTCCAGTGAAACTGGTTGCTCGTATCCTGGATGGTTGGTTGTGTCCATCACCAGGTGCAATCGGGCACTTTGTAAACCACTAATACGAGAGGAAATGGTATTAAATGGGCACGCGCTGCGTGCAATTGCACACCCGGTGCAACGATGCGCACGATCCGTCTCGCTAATGCGTTTCGCAATGTAAACGACCGATGGTGGCGAGGTGAAAGAAACCTTCCTTCGACAAACTATGAAAGGTTGCAGAAATAGCAAAAAAATACACAATCCGTCCCAAGTTCAACAAATATTGATTAATCCTAAATAAATAAAATTACAATTCTGAACTCTCTGAAAAATATAACATATAGTTAAAAAATTAAAAAAAGAAATTAAAATATTTATTATAGTAACATAAAAATTTTTTGATGTAAATTTTTCATGTATTTTAATTATTCAGGGCATTATCCGTTAATGTAATATTAAAAATAAATATTCTAAACACATTAAAAGAAATACACAAAGAATGCAATAAATTTCTATTCATCTTATGAACAAATGGAGAAAGAATATTTCTTGTGGCCTATAGTTTGCTCTTGACAAACACGAATGTTCAATGACGTAAGATCATCCTAACAGGAATCGAGGGCGATTTTATGGTCAGTGCGTGGATGTATGTGTACGCGCATGTTCTATGCGTAACGGTTGCACGAGAAGCTCAATAGCCGATCTCGGGTTTCTTCTAAGAATCCCTGTCGTATTTTTAATTATTACCGCCGCGCACCGCATCGCCTGTAGTAATCTCGATCTCGAACTCTTCCTCCTACAACTCTTCCTTCAAGTATAATAATAACCGATAATTATTTAGATAATCCATAAAATGTCAATGAAATCGGTCAGATAAGAAGTTCTAATATTAATGACAAATAACAAATGCGAATTACGACATAATTTGATAATGAAACATGTTTTATACTCTATGCGGATAGATATATAGAAATTATTCAACGTTAAAGTAAAGGATGATAATATGAGTTCATGAATTAATTTCAGTGTTTTTTCATTGTTTTTCATTCAATGTTCGATGGGGAATTCCAGATTAGCTTGTCGGAATTATAATGTGTGTGCGTGACAAGTTTATTTAATAAACAAAAGATAATCGACATAATACGCACACTATTTGCCACCGGAGAAAGACGAGGGTTCCGCACGGTTGGTGAGGAGTGCGAATTTCGCGAAATCCAATATAGCGAGTTTAATGTCAACGGGGTTATAGCCCTGCTGCCGTAGGACTATCTGAATCCACCGAGCTGATAAGACGCTTCTCACGATGGCTCGCGGAAGAAGGCGGGGTAAACGTAAAAG